GCCTTGTAATTACTGACAGGAAGCTAAAACTCATGTTTGTGTAACTGAAGTAAACTGCAGGGGGTAAGCAAAATGCTATGGATCATCTGGGTAATAATGCCTATTGCTGATAGTTACCTTATCACATGTGGAATACCTACCAGCTGAGTGTCTTCTTCTGTGATGACCCCATGGGCTTTGCAGCGTGTGGTGTGCACCTTCTTAGATACTGGGAAAACCTGCAGGAAACAAGTAAGATGTGTACAACATCTAAGAAATGTCGACAAAAACGATCTGTAACCTGGTTCTCAGATGCTGCAGGGACTGAGGTATAACAGATTTACCTTTCTGCCCAAGAGTTTATTCGAGAGGGTAGATTTCCCAGCATTTGGTGCTCCAATGATGGCAACTCTCAGAACCTTGGGGTTCTCTGGCTCATCTGGTTGGTGCACCAACAAGTTATCTTGCTCAGCTGCAGAGAGAGAAAAAAGGTGTTCAAGTAATAACACTGCAGTCACACCAGACTGTACACATTTAATGGATTAGTCCACCAGAGACTAAAAAGATATCACTGCACAAAACACAATATTAAGTGGCTAAGAGATTAATCTTGAGAGACTACAAGAATGTACAGCCTTTAATCCCCACCTCATGGGGTATCCAGCTATTTACAACTGCCTGAACTTTCTTTTACAAGTCACTTCTTCCAAGGCTGTTTTCCAACTTTCCACTATGCCCTCTTTAGGGGTTGCCCCTAATGCTTATTGTTCAACACCTCTGAGAAAAATCATGCAGGCAGCTGTTTACCTTTGCAGTAAGACACTGGTGGTGGATGCTGCCCTAGTGCACATTCTGTCTTCTCTCTGGAAATTCCTAGGATGGTATCCAGGGCAGAACTGTTTCCATAAAAGCAAGCAGGAAAAATGTTGACCCTCTGGACTCTGTTCTCCAGGAAACAGGCACCACTGACTGAAAAACCAACACAGAAATACCAACTTAAACCTCCTGCACGCTGGACCAAAAATGTTACAAGAAATTCTAAGCAAGACGGCCTCAAAACACAGCCGGGAAATTGGATTTATTTTACCAATATGGGTTCCTCAATCCCACTAACAGATTACAGTTACAGTTGGGATGGTAATGACAAGGACACACACTACGTAGCCAGAGAATTCCATAATCAAGGCTCCTAAACCATTAGTATGAACTATGTACAAAGGACTAATCACTTCGGAAGAGATATTAGCAAACACTGTGGCTGAAGCCCCTGCCTGTAATTCTCCCCAGCCTCCCTCCTTGCTGCCCATTACACTTAGAATGCCTTCTCATGTGCCAGCTCACACGGCTTCTTCCACGATGCTTTTCAAGTTCAACAATGACCTGAAAAGAGGTCAGCACCATTTCCCAGCATTCGTTTAGGGAATTGTGTCTGAATTGTACTGTCCAAATCTAGCAGCCTCTTTGGCAACCAGTGCAGAGAGAAGTTTTACCAGTTCTCCCACCTTTGGTCTAGCATTGGTGCTAACAATGGAACCACAAGTGCAGATTGGGCACAAGCATTTTTACCACCAAGTCACTAAGCTCAGCTATGAGTATATTAGATAACATGATGATAAAGGCATCCGAGCCCAGTCTACACTAGTACTTCTAGCATTGCTGCAATGCTGTCAGACTGCTAAGAATTCTCACTTTCTACAAGATGCTTCAGGGCTAGTAACTTGTCCTTTATGCCTGTACATTGAGATTTACTATTTGTAACATGCTAGCACCTAGGAACCTCAGTCCTGGACCAGGACCTCACTGTGCTAGCTGCGGTAAAAACACACAAGAAGATAGAACCGACCCAAAGAGCTTACAATCCAAGTAGAAGACAAAAGACGGACAAGTGCAAAGAAACAACGAGAGGATATTAGTCAGCAAGACACACTGGTTTCACACCAGTGGCCCGGCCACTATCAAGTTTTTGTAGACATCACAGCAAAGGAAGAATTCAACAGAGGATAATGAGATGGCTTTGCAGATATATATTGGGAGCTCCTGACAAGTGAGGGGCAGCAAGGGAGAAAGCACAAAGGGGCTTGTTTGGGAGATGGAGGCTGGCTTTATGGACTGATTTGAGGTGGGTCATACAAAGCTAAATAGCAACTGCACTCAATACCAACAGAAAAAAAAGTGCTGAACAATGACTCCTAAAGACTGAACTCTCACAGGGATAGCAGGAAGAAGAGCTGGTTGTGCTCCTTTGCCAGGAAACTGAACATGGGTGCTGTTTGTATAACGGGTGTTAGGGTACGGTGAGTAACCATAGGGGAGAGTTTCTCTACATGCGACCTAAGCATTAAAGGGCAGAAACTCTTATTTGAGTAACTGTATATGGAGGTTTCCTCTACACTTGTCAGTTATAGCATCCCCACCCCCAGACCCATCCCACTGGTCTGTGGCTCTGCAGGTCTGGGGAGAGCTCCCTGATCAGAAGACGGGGGCTGCGCACTGCAGGGAGTGGGGAGATTGGCTCCTGGCGGCTGAGGCTGACAGTCCGCGGTGTTTATCAGCGTCTGAGCAGCGGCAGCAGAGCATCTGGGACGGTTGTGCTGCCAGGGGACCAGAGTCCTATAATCACTCTACAGCAGCCCCATAGTCCACCCTAAGTGCACCAGAACCAGCCCTCAGGGGCCGTCCAAAGCTTCACAGCCCCGCGGCTCCTCCTCCCCCACAGCCCCACTCTCCGGCCCCCCTCCCCAGCTTCCCCCAGCCCCAGGCCCCACAGCCCGCCCCAGCTTTCCCCCTCCCCCCAAACCCGGCCCAGGCCCCCCAGCTTTCCCCCTCTCCCCCAAACCCGGCCCAGTTTCCCCCTCCCTCTCCCAACAGGCCCCACAGCCCGGCCCACCCCCAGGCTCTCCCACCTGTGCGGGCCCAGCCCGACCTCCCCGCCTGCAGCGCCGAGCTCAGAGCCCGGACCACGGCGGCCATGACACCCCCGGGCCTCAGCAGCTGCAGCCCCCACCGCCTCGCTCTCCGGGCGCCGCCATCTTCACCCGCCGCGGGGCATTGTGGGAGCGGAGTGCGACGGGCCCGCCCCATTGGCTGGGGGAACATCGAGGGGCGGGGCCCGGCCCTAAGTGTGGGCGCGGAGCGGCCGTCGGGGGCGCCACAGACACAGTCTGCGCCGGGCGGGGCGCCCCCTGCTGGGGGGGGCGGGGTCTGAGCACCTCGCCCAGCAGAGCCTCCCCCGGGGTCCCTGCCCTCAGGGCCCCTACAGCCCCCCCCAGACTCCCCGCAATCTCCTCAGCCCCCCTACAGC